AGAAGACAGATGTGGTAAAAAAAAAAAGACTAGTCCTCCAAAAATAAGTCTCTTTCTCATACTTTATACAATGGCATCCTTTAAGTTTAAGATGTTCATAGCAACTACCTTGTGAATTAGGTCAAGTCAAATGAGAAAGGTTGTTGAAAGGAGATTCAAGATATCAGGAATAACAGTTAGTGTCCGCATTTATGACTCCCAGTGCCAAGGAAAAGGTTTAAAATTGGTGGTTTTGTTCTGACTAAGCCAAGCTCTCTAGAGGAATAGTTGAAATAAATTCATTATGAATGAAATTTTCATTATTTAGAATACCTAATTAATTCATAAAGTACTGTGTGATTAAATCTTTTAACTTAAACAATACACATAAATAATCTTAAATAAAGGATTTAATTTTAATAATTAAATTAATATTATTACTTTTCTAAAATTCAAATAAAAACAATAAATGTATCTAAATCATCTTCATTACTAGATTTTAAAAAAATAATAATTGTTCTCCGAAAATGGCTTAAACTAAAAAAAAAAGAAAATAAGAAAGAAAAAATATACCGGTACTAAGAGAAATTAAAAAAGCAAAAATAAAAAAAAAACAACTAAAAATAATAAAACTATGAATAATCAATCAAATAAACAAGGAGAAAAAACAATTTCAAAAAATAATTCTCATACTATTATTGCTATTATTGTCATCACATTCGGCTCCGAAGCCATTTAATATGTACGGAGTCATTCCGGGTGCGAATTGTCATTGGTGACCATAGGTACCCGGGTACCTATAGATGCAGCCTTTTAATAATTCACAATATTAACTTTAAAATCAGAAGAGTTTTTATTTATTTTATGAGTGGATTTAAAAATTAAAACCAGAAAAGAAAATGAAAACAATTAATTTTTACCTTGTTACTTTAAAAATTATTTTGCTTTATTTTTACTTTATTTTTTATCAGATATTGTTGCGTTTTTTTCGAAAAATATAACAAAATTTCCCCCCCAGTTAAGATTTCCCAAGGTTTTGCATGATTTTCAAAATTATTCCCCAGATCCCAAGGAGGGTCGTGAATTCCCAAGACCTTGGGAAATTTCCCAAGGTGTGGTAGCCCTGGTCAGAACCTGATGTAGGCATTGGCCAGTAGTCTAGACAGTTCAGACCTATTTTTTTTTTCAATCCGTTTCCTCACATAAACGATGTGCATTTAAGGACAAAGAGATCCGTACACAAGTTTTTCCATACGTTTTGTTATGAGTTACGAAATGGCTGTTGATTTAAGCCACATAGTCCTCCCTTTCAAGTTTCACCCCCATCTTAAATAATAACTTTTTAAATATAATTAGTGCCATCGTGTGACCCTTGAAGGTCTCCTTCTACTTTTTGTGCTGCCTATAAACAAATTTAGCAGGATTTGTTGGACCCACATCACACCTTTCGGCTCCTTATATAATATACAAGGCAGGAGCCACACAGCGGCTCTAAATTTAAACATAACAAGCCTATTTTTTTTGTAACTTTTACTATTTGTGTTGCTATATTTTTTAGTATGCATTTTAAAATCTACCCCACCACTTTTTTAAATAGAAAACCTGAAATATGTTATATTACTTTGTATGTGTCTATGTAAAAATGTACGAATCTATATATCCCGAAAATTCTTAACCTATTTGCAGTACCACAATCTCCTTTATTTCAAAAAATTTCCAGCTCCCCAGTGGCGTGCTGGATCTGGTTCGGTCAGGCTTGGGCAACTCGGGTGTTAATGTTTTGATATTTTTAACAACTGATTAAAAATGTTCAAATACATTGACTTTTTAAAAAATAACTGACAAGTACCAAACGGTTTGTTGCAAAGTACTGAATAATTTCTGCTTGATTGAAAGCACATTGCTGATGCACCACCATCTCGTGTTTCAAAAAAAATAAAATAATAATAATAATTTCCCGCGCCCCTCTAAAATATTGTTAATAAAATGCAAATGAACTGGATTTTATGGGTTTTGCAGCACCACTAGGGGCGCGGAACCCTTAGTTAAGAATCTCCGATATAGCGTCGGTATTTATACTTACTTTCTTATTCTATATCTTGAGGGCCCACGATCAATGTATTGATCATTCTGCCTAAAAAACAAAATCTTCAAATAGTCAGAATCATATGGTTGGAATATGTTCATGAAGATTCGAGACTGGAATTTTTAACATGTAAAGAATGCAAAACTCAAAGAAAGTATAAAGATTTGTCCACACGCTGAAATTCGCTAATTTTAAATTGGTTATTTTTACATATTTAATTAGTTCTTTTCAACCCGAGGGAGGCTTTTAGCCACCACGTTCGTTTTTAAATGCTGGATACTTTTTTTTTCTTAAAAATTTGTCATATAAAGACACCATCCCACAGGGGTGGACTGGGGAGTTCAAGCGGCCCAGGAAAAAAACAAAAAGTGGCCCTATGCTATTAGTTATTAATTATTATTATATCACCGGTCTTGGCGGCCCATCGGGAATCTTCCCGGTGTCCCTGTGGCCCAGTCCACCCCTGCCATTCCATTATCTTTGTCGCCTTTGAATCATCCCAACTTAGTAAAATAGATTACTTAGCCTTTTCACCAGGGGGGCAATCCTCGTAGTCCATTAAATGGCCATGAAAATGGGATAAAATGCATGAAAGTATTTGTTTAAAAATGGTTTATGGGGTTATCGATTAATTACGTCAACAATTTTTACGCAATTTTTACCCCCCCCCTGTCAACAAATGTCAAACTTTCGATGACACCCCCCCCCCATTTAATTATGTCAACATTTTATACTCCACACCCCTTTTGAAAAATGAATTGTAATAAAAATAAAATGTATAAATACATTTTACTTTGTGCTGATCTACTTAAATGACACATAAAATTGTAGGGAAAACATTTTATTACATGTTTACCTTGTTAATCAACAATTTAATCGGTTTTTACACATAAATTTTATAACGCAGAATCAATTAAAAGGTTTATAAAAACAAAATATCATTATTTAAAAAAGTATAAATATGATTATTGTCAGTATAGTTTCTAGCTGCTATTATCTTCCCGTGGAGTAGCCAGGTGTTGCTCTATCGTAACAATGGGCATCAGGGATATCATTTGGCTAGGGCATCCCCACCCCCTTGATTTTGCAGGTTTATTTAAAATTTAAATTGCTATGTACTGTGGCACCTCCAGGAATAAACATCTTAACAAGCCGACCACGTTTGGTTTTGCCACCTCCTTCCTGAAAAAAAAACCCTGAAATGACACCCCTGTTGGGCATATTCTAATGTAGCCAATTTATCATTTTCATCTTGCGGAACTGATATACCAGACAAGTCAACATTATTCTTATCTAACCATTCAGCACTTAAAATAGAAGTATTGTCGGTGAGAGCAATAATAAATGTAATAGGCTCTCTCTGTCTCCTTGCTGCTTCTCGCATTGGTCGAATCCTTTTTTGTTGAGGAGCAGGTGGTAATATCTTATGCTCAAGAGAGCATTGTTGGTGCTGTTGAACATGCTTTTTCCATACATGCAACATAATTGCAAACATACCGCCCTAGTCATTTGTGACAAACGGAATCTACAGGTGATGTGAGGCCAACTTTTGACTTCTCTTGCACTAAGCGTCAGTTCACACGATCAAATTTTCGATCATGCATGCAATTTTCTTTTCAAAGCCTTGTCATAACTTGCAAATTACTATTTAATCAAATTCCCATTTCTGTCCAAAAAAAAAACACAAAAAAAAAAAAAAAAAAAAAAAAAAAAAAAAAAAAAAAAAAAAAAAAAAAAAAAAAAAAAAAAAAAAAAAAAACTGGAAAAAAAAAGAAGAAAGAAATTAAGCACAAAATAGTGCGTTCAAACAAAATTTTGACGCGAAATTCAAAGCTAATTTGATCGTGTTACTGTTAACTGACCCTTACAAAGTGTGCTAACATTCTGATCAGCCATCTGCAGTGCACCGACAGACACACATTAAATAACTCTTATAGTGTTAAAATCCTAACAATATGACTATTTACAACCATTAAATTGTTTAAAATAATGTCAACACTGTCAAACATTGTCAACCCCCCCCCCCCTATTTTGTTGACGCAATTAATGGACGCCCCCCTATCATGAATTAGTTTAAATTTCTATAAATAAATTGAAACATTTTATGGGGGGGTGGGGGCTGTGGGGAAAATACAGTTTGTACGTTAAGTGGATGGGACCTGTAACATGTTTGAGTCAAATATGGTAATTGGGGGGGGGGGGTCTGGTGTGAAAATTTGACTTTTTGGAAGGCCACTAGCTAAATCAGCTCGCGTTTATTTCTTTTTATGTTTCTCTATATGCCTCTAAAAACCCGCTCTGCATAACTAGAAAGGAAAAAAAAAAGAAACCGAATAATTAAGCGATATGCATACGATACAAATCATTTGGAGAACGTTTTTCTCAGGCTATCTTTTGGAAATTTGAAATTGTGCCTTCTACAAAGAAGGAGTCCATTTCTAACAACATACAATACACATTTTAGTAGGACAAAAAAAGCTAAGTAAAAACGAAAAGAAAAAAAAAAGGTTTTCTATAAAGTGTCTTTCGGATCCACCCTTTTCCCGATACTGACGTAAATGGTACCGACGTAAAATTAAGTTATAATACTAAATACAGGCCTACAATTTTTCCATGCAACATTCACAGTAACTCAGTAGGGACTAGGGAGGGGCTGAAACCTCAAGAGTCAAACAGTCTTTCTTGAAAGCGAGACAGTTAGTCACCTTTTTAAAAATACATTTTAATTATTTACTGGTATTAAGTATTTTGATACAACGATTGTGATATCTTTAAATACCGTACGCGTTTTTGTTACTGATAAGATTAAAATGAGACTGGCTAGCCTATGGAAATAGTATGGAAAACATTCTAACTCTACAATTATATACAAGTTCTAAAATTAATTGTTACAGCTTTATTCAAATACGAAACTAATAGATCGTTTATTTCCAACAGAAATGATGACGTCATGCCGCCATGTTCGGTCGGAAGTTCATTTTTAATCAAAGGTTGTGGCGGATTCCGGAAAATAATCTGCCCGTACAGAATTACTGAATTTTACAAGTTAATTTAAGTGTTTTGAAGAAGGAAAACAGTTCACATAAAGATAGAGCAATGGATTAATTGACCGATTTAAGGCCTATAAGATATGCATTTACTCTTGTCGAAATCCCTACTTTTTTTGTCATCATCAGTGAGTAGCAGTTTTATTATTTATAGATAAGTGGACGGTCTAATTTTATCTTGCAGGCTTGGTCTATAGTTCATTTGTTGTGATTTATTTGTGGTCAAATGTTTTTTTTTTCAATCGTTTAGAAAAAAAAAAGAAAAGTGGTGGGGGGCGATTCGTTGGATTGAATTTGGCCAGCGCAGGCAGTGTCAGTGATGGGACTTAAAAGATTTGTCAACAAAAAAATAAAATATTTTTCATTGATTGAGTTCATTGACATAGACTATAGATTGTCAAGACACTATTAACAGTGACTCAGTAACAATGTAAAAAAATTGAATACAAATACATTAATAGTAGGTTAATTGGTAGGTGTAGTTTAGGCCTTTTACAAATACAAATTAAAAATTGGCCATCAATACATTTAAAAAAGTAATGTTAAAAAAACGTTTTTAGGATTAGGTTTGGTGATAAATTTTAGGGTTCAGGCTATGCCAGAAAAGGGATTGACCCAGGTTGTTGACACTTCTTGCAGCATACCAGAGTGATAATTAAGTTTAAGGTAGCTATGCTTGTCACTGAAAAAATTGCATCATAATCATATAAACTTATGGATAGGTCGCACCTTTAGTGTGGGGTTGTCTACTTGGGTATTTGTGGTTTACCGCAGATCGGTATTTCCTTAGTTTGGGGAGTTACATGGCCCTTTTTAATTTTTATGTGAATATATCTAATATTTGTTAAAGTTAAACATACGTCAAAAAATTTTTTCCTTAAAAAATATTTAAATTCTAGGGCAGTTTTTTTACACCAGGTATGGGTATTGAGAAAATACCCAGTGGGTCCAAGTCTTAAAAAAAAAATAAAAGAAGTTCTCATTTTCTTTAATATAATATGTCAGCCTTTAATCAATAGTCCTACAGACAGTCCTACACCATGGACCATACCCATGTATCTTTACAAACTGGTATCTTACCAAGGTTCATTAGCTTCATTTGTCTAGGGGTTATTCATTTACTTAAAACAAACCAATGCTCAATAAAACAAACTTCTCTTTATTCAAATACAATACATTCCAAAAATCCAACACCTCAGCACAGCCATTGATCCACACCATAACAACAAACCTAACACGTCATTTCACCTTACACAAAATAGTAAGCATTTAATAGCAACATCTACCCAAATACTCTACAAACAACACACAATCACAATATATCAACATAACACCCCTCCCCCCCCCCATTCGTTTGACATTCATTTGAAAAATTGATGTCACACACAGAAATACTATAACAAATTGTAAGCATCTTTCAAAACAACATCCTAAATATGACAAACTTCAGTGCTAAAAATTATCTTCTTTATATTTAAGAGCAAGTGACTTATTTCATTTACCAAAACACAATTTAGATTTCATACTCATATCAAAATAGGAAAAATTATTACATTGACAACAAAATTTATTGTCACACACACACAAAAAGTGACCAAAAAATAAACTCTGTCTGTTAGAGGGGAAAAAAATGTCAATACCTATGGACTCATGTGGACATCCCTGAATTGTCCAGTCCGATGTTCTTATTTAAAGAGGGCGGGATATTACGCCTGACACAAATTCTGTGCCAAAACATATGGTGAACGATCTTTCTCTTTCTGCGCCCCCAAACAATGGAATTCTTTGCCACTACACTTCCGCAATATACCGACCATCACAGCCTTCGAAACTGCACTCAAAACACATCTCTTTAAACTCTACTATCCTGACTGATTTCCCCCTCTGACCGATAAACGATGCAGCTGGGTGCCGTCAATGGCTTGACACGTAAATAGTTTTGGAATGGGTGGAGTGAATATATTTTCGTTTTATTTAATTAATGTATGTTGATGTTTAAGTTCATGATTATGTTTGTTAAATTGTATTTAGAGTGTGGTGAGCCCCGTCCTAGGCTATAAAACCACTAATAATAATAATAATAGTTGCCTATGAAAAAATTCAACCCTCTTACCTTGGTTCAAACGTTATGCTCATTCCTGCCCAAGACAATCAGGGACTGGAACCATCTTTCAAAAGGAACAGTTGAGGCGACAACACTAGACACATTTGTGTCTATTGCCTCAAGCCTAGTTTGGGGATCACGTATTAAAGGAGATCACCACCAGTAACAGAAACATTGCAAATCCCATCTACATGCATAGGAGCCAAAATGATCAATAAATTGATCGTGGGCCCTTAAGATATAGAAGAAGAAGAAGAAATCCAGGATTTGTGTAAATGATGTTAATAATAAAAATATCCTCTAACCATTGAGGACATAAATTAAAGACTTTGGCAAAAAAATTGTTGACATTGAATCTTTAAAAATAAATGTAATTTCCTTTTTTTTTTGATGTTTTAGTTTTTCAAAAAATTATTTACAAATTAAAAAAAAAATTGTTACAATAAACCTTCATGTCACATAATAGGTTGGAATTTTTTTGAAGAAAAAAAAGAACAAAAAAGCTCATTATTATTCAAAATGATTCTTACTCTTGAATACGTTTTTGCACTCGGAATGTTAATTTCAGAACACATAGAACCTGAGTACTGATGCACACAGGATCCATTCTACCAAAATGGTGATGTCAGATGCTGATTATTGTAGACGCCTCGCCATCCTAGAGGAGCGTTTTTACAATCCTAACTCAGCTATCAATGCAGATGGGTTGATGGTGAGCTGGTTGTATTGATATTTAAAATTAGGGAGTCATTTACATTTACAATATCTTTATATTAAAGAAATTGAGATTTTAATCACTTTTTTACATGAAATGTAACAGCGGAGATGAAACAAGATTACAGAAAATTATGTTGGGGACAGCAGTTTTCTTGATAAAGCTATACAAATTTGTATTCCCTCTACAATGCTGATATATATTTGTACAGGATAATTTAAATTTAGTTTTCATCTAATCTATGTAATTCAGACTTCATTTGACAATGTTAAATATCTTTATAGGATGGTATTACAGCCTTGGTGGCTGATTTAGACTTCCCTGCAATAAAGAGGATGAAAAATGTGGAACATTTTCTTGAAAGATGTAAGCACCTCAAAAAATAAATTTTTGCTGTTAAATTTTTAAAGCAAAATTTAGGCTTTTAATATAATTTTTATTAAGAAGTGATTAGGTGTATATAAGATTTAGTATTAGATGCTGAATATAAATACTAAATTCCTGTTCAAGTATAAAATTGAATGGTCACATTTTGTAACTGTTCTTCTAGATGGAGATTGTGTTGAACTTATTAAAAACCATCGTATGAAAGCTACTGACTTTGATGTAGTGAAAGTCATTGGGAGAGGAGCTTTTGGTGAAGTTCAATTGGTATGTCCCCTTGTTTCTCATTTGTGATTTTTATTTTTGGTATTTTTAACATACAAAAGTTTGTTTGAAAAAAATTATTATTTAGCGTAAAATAATTTTCCCCATTTTATTAATGGTTGTTGAATATATTTTGACAGTTTTTACAACTTTTTTTTTTACAAATTGTGAAAGTAGCTTAAAATAAACAAAAAAGTGTTGAACCTCTACCATTAAGAAATTCAATTGGAATTTAATAATGTCATTTCTTTCTCTTCCGTTGTCAACGATTGGAATGATCTCTATATTTTCCACTTTCTAAAACTTAAACTGCATTCAATATAATTTAAAGCTCAATTTTTGTTTGGACTAAAGTTTGCTGTAAAAATGGATAAAGCTAAAAGCATAAAATAGCTGATGTTACAAATTTTATTGTACATGTACAGGATCAAAGTTTTTAAGAAAGAGGGTTGGGAATGGAAACAGATGACTGGTGTAAATTTTTTGTAAAAATAGATTCAGTATATTTAGGGTGGTTTGGGCAGGTATTGTGGAATAGACGTATGGTAAGGAGGCAGACCTGCTACTCTTACAATGTACAATTTTGAGATGTCTTTGATGATTGTCCGCCTAGAATCGTCAGAACAACGATTTTAAGAGATCAGGTTAAAAATATATTCCGGTAGTTTTTCTGATAATAAAAAAATTATAAAATAATAATAATAATCATTAAAAAGAACTTTTTCTGTTAGTTTTACCTCGCATTTGAATTACACACCCAGCAGTGAATGGATCGAGAAATACGATTTTAGTTGGGGACCTTCTACAGTCGAACCCTGTTATCTCGCCAACCCTGTTATGTTGACGTTTTTGAATTAGTACCGTCAAATTCTCTCTTTGTCTAAGCATTTTCTCCTCGGTTATGTCGATTCTTTTATTTGGCCGAACCCTGATTTCGTGAGCACAAAAGGCACCAAATTTGCTATTTTACCTCAGTTATCTTGATCCCCATGACAAATCGCCGGCTTTTAAAAATTGATATACAACAGAAACGTGCCTATTTCATACTGTAGTAAATGAAATGACAATATAGTTGTCCACACACAGCAAGGAGTGAGAGGCTTGCAAACAAAAGAGAGGCGATGTCAAAGTACATGTTCTATTTATAGCGAACCCACTTGTCGCTTAATACTTAATAGGCTTTCATGCGTTCTTACACGTTGATTTTTTTAAAACCCAGAATCCGTATTTGAATAAACTGAACTGGCGAATCCGAATCGAGAGAAAATAAAAACTCGCGAATCCAGACCTGAAAATATTTAGCCTCACGAATCTGGAATTCCGGGATAATCCGGAAAAGTGGCACCCTACATATGCCTTGTGTTGTTAGCAAACGTATATAGCATGCCAATTGCTTCATCAAACAAATCGTGGTAACACTGTTGTGTAAAAAGAAAACTTCAAAAGCATGTGCAAGTACATCTCATCAGACCTGTTTACTCTTACGATTTTGGCGTACAATGTAAGATTTTTAGATCTTTTTTACGATTGTACGCCGAGACCCCCCAAAACTACGATTTTCAGAGACCCGGTGAAAAAGTATTTGTGTAATTTTGTCCGATTTTTAAAAAAAAAAAAAAATGTTCGGTTGTGGAAGCTTTAGCCCTATGGCCCCGCATTGAATGGACTCAGAAAAACGATGGGTTTGGGTATATTTTTTTATAGTCGGACCATCCTTCATTATATTATGTACGCACTGAAAGGGGAGGTGGCGGTTGTTGGTTAAAGAGATTGGTGGCATACCAGAAACACGGGGTTTGGGGGGTGGGAAAGGTGGGAGTTTCAAAAGATATAAAAATATCACCGCAACATATCCTACTGATGGTGGTGATTGTCTTAGTGTTGCTTTGCGTGTCACAGTGAACCAGCTAACTGTGTCAGCAGCAATCTTTAGGCTAGTCGCCTGGCAACAACTTCACTCACCTCCTCATTGGACTGCTACTGCTAGCAAGCGTGTGTTCGTCTGAAATGCGGGGATTGTGAAGAGAGAAAACTAGAGGTGTGAGATTTAGTCGGCGGCATTAAAAAAAATATTTTAGATCTAGCAAAGCAACTCTATCCAGAGGCGAAGCGAGCGGGGGCAGGGGGGGGGACAGATTCCCCGGGCGCCAGCTAGTTAAGTTTACTCTTACGATTTTGGCGTACAATGTACGATTTTTAGGTGTATAGGTTGTATATACTGTTTATTTTTTACTATAAATTTAACGTACCGTATTGAACGATTTTGTGATGATATTCTACGATTTTAAGAGTTTGAGGGTAAACAGGTCTGTCTCATTTATAAACGCACATCGTAAGAAATTTTAAGCACATGTTAATATATTGCTACCATATTGGTTTGGGTTTATCTCGATCATCGGTTATCTCGACGCTTTTTGGCAAACCCTGAGACCGTCGACATAAGCGAGTTCTACTGTATAATTATATTACGTGTACCCTGAGAGGCAAGGGGAGTTGTGTTGATTTAGGAAATTTTGTGTATGGATGGGTGTAAATATTTAAATCTATCCAACCAACAACGTCACATTTTTGTAATGATGATGGGGGGGGGGTTCTTTGGCAGAAAGTACATACATTAATAAACATTTCTACAATATTCATCTCAAAAATTTAAATCTCTTAAAATAGCGTATTTATCTCTCAAATGCTATAAAATACCACCCGGTGTTTAGTAGGAATTACCGTCTTGATGTATTGCCATGTATTTTAACAAATGAACTCGCTATCTATTCTCAAATAGTACTCAGTAGTAGAGATATTACAGTAATTTTTAGTCCTTTAATGTTGAACATGCATGCGAAGGTTACTTTGTTGGGCTACGCTTATGTTTTAACCTGGCTCCTTGTGTGAAATTCTAACAATTACACTTTGAAATAGTGAATATAAAGGGTTGGGTAAAAATAAATATAACATGCATGTATGTCACTAAGCGCCATCTAGTAACTGCAAACAGTAGTTACCCAAGTGGGTTACTGTTTGCACTACGGCCGAAAGATGTCACATTGTATTAAAAGTGGAAATAAATTTTGAAAATTTTGTAATATGTCTTAACGCCCAAGTAAGGAAGCCACGGCAACCCAAAAAGAAAAATGTAACACACACCCCCCCCCCCCCCCCCCCCACCCCCCAGTAAAAGGACTATTTTGAGCGCCCTTTGCTTTGTGAAGTAAATGGGATTTTGTAGTTTAATTCATTTTTAAGGGTCCTTTCTAAAGACGATTTTGTTGCCCTCTGATTTTGGCGCCTGTTGCTCTGCGCCTCATTCTCTTGGCCCTGCCCGAGGGTGAGCACCCAGTGCTCCCCCAATCACCAGTGGTTAAAACCCCTGTCACATTTTGTTTACTAATGTAACATCATAAATATATCAAGATTATTGGATTATGTTGTTTAGCTTTGTTTTTTTTTAATTTTGGATGTGTCGAAAGCTCACATATGCAAAAGTTGGGGGGGGGGGTGGGGTGGCAAAAAGTTGTGCTCAACAGGGGGAAGGGGTTAGAAGATTTGACTTATTTTCGTACGTACTGTACAGAGCAGAGAAAACTTATAAAATGCATTTTCAACAGTTCCACGCAGTAATATTTGATTGCGACATACTTTATAGGATCCGAGAAGGCCTTTTAAAATGTTTTTAGAACACACAAAACAGTTTTATGATTTTTAGCACCCCTTCTTCCGTTCACCCATTTACATCTTGTGATTAGTTATCAGACTGTTGTAATATTTTAACGGGAAATAGACATAATGGATATTGATTCTTATTTGAATAAATTTCACTTTAGCTGATCTGACTTCGAGTTTGAACTACGATAAATTTCACCAGTAACTATATTTTAACAAGTGACAAACGGTGATAATGTGATCTGCACATTCACCTAAATATTAATTGATTTCTATAGCAGATACAAGTCGGTAAAACAAAGTGATCTCAGTTTGCAATATAAATGTCAGTTATCTACTTTTTACCCTTTTTTGACACCAGCTCAACTAGATTCCACTAGACGCGCTATGCTTTTATTTATTGTATATGTTATATATTCTGTATTTTTTATTTATTTATATACTATTAAGGTACTGTATTGTACGATATATTGTATATTGTATGATTTTAGGGGTTTGGGGGTAAACAGGTCTGGATTAAAAAAATTATGAAATTAATTAAAAAGAACACCCAGCAGTGAATGGATTGAGAAATACGATTGGTTGGGGACATCTATAATTATATTACGTTTGCTCTTTGAGGGGAATGGAGTGGTGTTGCTTTAGATTTTGTGTATGGGGGGGCGGGGGCTCTAAAATGTTTAATTCTATAAAATTAACACTGCCACATTTTGGCACATTTTTGTAATGATATGGGTGGGCCTTGGTATAAAGTATGTAGGTTATTAAAAAATTCTACAAAATTCATCCTGAAACTCTGAAAGTCCAAAAATAGCATTTTTAAATCATGAATGCTATAAAAATATAATGCAATGTTTTGTAAGAAATATTGTCATAATGTTTCCATGTGTTTTCACAAATGAACTCACTAGATATACTCAGATAGCACTAAATAGTAGAGATATTACAGCAATATTTAGTCCACCAAATGTGACTTATATTTTGTTGGGCTATGCCAGTGCTTCTATAATTTTTGTTTCCCTGGGCCTATGCCACATTCAGGTTGTCACCAAGCTCTCTGTGTTTAATTCTAAAAAGTATGCTTCAAAGTAGCAAGTACGTAAACAAAATAAAATAAAGGGTTGGGTAAAAATAAATATAAAATGTATGTAGGTCACTAACCGTCATCTACTAACTACAAACAGTAGTTACTCCAGTGGGTTACTGTTTGCACTATGACCGAAAGATGTCACAGTGGATTAAAAGTGGAAATAAAATCATGAAAATTTTATAATATTTTGCAAACCCCCTATGAAGAAGCTGCAGCAACCCAAATAGGAAAATGTGTAACCTCCCCCGGGGCGGATCAGTAAAAGAGTGATTTTTAGCACCTCTTGTCTTTGTGAAGAAAATTGGATTTTATAGTTTCATTAATAGCCTTTCTAAAGATCATATTAGCGCCCTCTGGTTTTGGATAAAAATGTGACTTTTTTTGAGTATGTACATTTAGATGGCCCCTTCGCACCTTAATATGCTTTGGTGCTTTGTGTCGTAATTTTATGACATAATTATTTACTACGGCTGAACTGGGGTGAAAAACAGAAAACTAGAGAAGCCATTCTAACTGTAAGGCGCAGCGATATTAGATTTGGATCTGATGATTCTTTGAAATCTATTTTTAGAACTTGCAAAACAATTGCGCGCTTTTTAATAACCCCCTCTTCCCTTCACCCATTTACAGTTTTTGATCTGAATTCTAGTTTGTCCTTGTTAAATTTTACCAGTAACTTTATTGTCACCAGTGACAGTGTTAATATGATCTGCACGTTTACCTAAATTTTAATTAATATCAATTTAATATCTATAGCAGATACACCTCTGCAAAACAAAGTGATATAATCGTCAGTCAACTACTTTATACCTTCAGTTACATTTTTTGATGCCAGCTTAACCCGAGCCCACTAGACACATGATGCGTGTAGTTATTGCATATATCATGTTTATTTATTTATTTACTATTAAGATACTGTATTGTACGATTTTGTGATGATATTATATGATTTTAGGAGTTTGATGGTAAACAGGTCTGTAGAGGGCAGGAGAGTAGACAGAAAACTGAGAAAAGAAAACATTTGATTATAAGGGAAGAAGGGGTCAGGGTAGGGTTCTCCAACCGTAACACCCAAGGTGGCAAAGAGTGTAAATTTCACTTGTACAGTCGTCCCTCGCCATTTTGCGTTTTGACTTTTGTGGCTTCACTCTATCGCGCTTTTTCTCCGAATATAACATGTTTTCGTCTTAAAAGTTGATTGAGGTAGTGAAAATGATACAGTGCCCCCTTGGGCGTCAATGATACATCCCTGTATTACAATTAAAATTACTGTAGGTATTGACTGTAGGCCTATGTATTAGAGCATCCCAGAGGGTTTAATATTGTTAAAAACCGTATTTAGAGGGTCGTGAAGAGAAGATCCATGCTCTAAATTCGAAAATATTCATTTTATAAATAAAGAATCCTACAATGCGAAAATTCACTTATCGTGGAACTAATTAACCGCGATAAAAGTGTAGGTGAGGGTTTGAAGAGATGGTGGCTGAAAAAGACAATCGAACCAGAATGTTGATCAAGACATTTTTTAATGAATATTTTTAGAAATACTAAATTTGTGATGTTTCTGTTCATACATTTTATGTACATGTTAAAACAATACCTTAAATATCATAGGTACGTCACAAAACAACAAGAGCTGTATTTGCAATGAAACTTCTTAGCAAGTATGAAATGGTAAGTAGGTCTTTGTTGAGTACTTAAGATGGAAATTTGATTGGTGTTTTCTTCTTCATTTTTTTATCATTTTAAGAGGATTTTTTTTATCATTTTAAGGGGATTTTTTTCCCTTCTTTTTTAAATCACAGACATAGTTTTATTGGAAATGACTTAAACATTATTCTTATAGGGGAGGCTATTGTATAATTCCTGCAAATAAAATATACTATTTTATTTTATTGTTGTTGACAAAAACTATAGTTTTTAACTTGGGTTTTAAGAAGTTTATTTAAAATTAGTAGAATGGCAAGTAGAAATACTTGTGAAGGAAATAAGTAGAAATACTTGATATTTCCTTTGCAACAAAATAGTGCAATGGTCATTTAACCATATACTATTACTGTGTGTCTGAAAGTGACTATAGATTTTGACAATTTTGTATGCAAGATTTTCCCCATATTTTTACTTCATTGCATTGACTTAGAAATTATTTAATGTGGAAAAAGCATGCAAATAATAACTCTGGACTTATTTTTGTTTGTTAGTTTCTCATTTTTTGTTAAGTGTTTATTATACAAATTTAGTAAATAGCTATTAAGTAGCACTATGTATGAGCTAATTTGGAAAAAGTGGTGGATGAATGTTTGAAGGTTGAGATGGGAGAGGTTGGAGGACAAGAAAGGATTTTTTTTTGAGGGGGGGGGGGTGGCATCAAAGGGTATGCATTCTCTAGTAAGATATGTTAATAAAATTTCAAGTTTTTGAACAATTTTAAAAAGTTGTTTCAATGAAAACTCGGCTACTGAGCCTATAGTTATGAGTGCGCAGAGCATCAAAGTTAGTTTTTAATGACAGCGTTTTTTGTGAATTTTACTAATCTCAGTCTGTCGATCCATAAAAGTCATAGTTTCATTATATTATTTTTCATTACATTATTTGTTAAATAAATTGTTAAATATCACACAGATCAAGAGATCTGATTCAGCTTACTACTGGGAAGAAAGAGAAATTATGGCCAATGCTAACAGTGAATGGATAGTACAGGTAACAATCATTATTGATACAACAAAAAATAAAATAAATTCTTAGTGTCAAGCAAACATTGTGATATGATTAGGTTGTTAAAACTTATTTCAGCTTACCGAATATATTTCTTGCCCAGTTATCAATTTAAAAAGAAAAAACAACCTTTAGGTTAAATATTGAAAACAGAAAGATTATAAATACAAGTAAAAATTTCAATATTGCTTTCATTATTGATGCACTGATGATTTATTTAGTATTTTATGTAGTCATGGGGATTGTTCAAAATCAATAATTTATTTGAATATTGTCCTGCAGTTGCATTTTGCATTCCAAAATAACAAGTATTTGTATATGGTTATGGACTACATGCCTGGTGGAGACCTGGTCAACTTGATGAGTAATTATGATGTACCAGAAAAGTGGGCAAAATTTTATTGTGCTGAAGTTGTCTTGGCTCTTGATGCTATCCATTCAATGGGTTTTGTTCATAGGTATTATTATTATTAGCTTATAATAAAGAGGATTTACACACATTCTCTTGAATAGTGTATTCTACCTATTGTTAACTTTAATTTTGTATTTTACTAAAATTTAACTAAGAGTCAGATTTTCATTGTGATATTTAATGTTTGACAAGAACAAGCCATTATTGAGGCCAGCTCAGAATCACTCTCATAGTTTATTATGCACATTAATTTTCTCAGTAGTTAAATTCTCTGAGAGCTTATATAAATCATAAGATTGAATTTGCGTCATTGAGAAAAAATCCATGTTAGCAAATCTATATTTTGACCATTAAGTTATTAATTAGCTCAGATATTTTTGTTTCTTTCAGAGATGTCAAACCAGATAATATGTTGTTAGATGCTAATGGTCACCTGAAACTTACAGATTTTGGAACATGTATGAGGATGGATAAGGTATTGGAATAGTCAAAGCTTGAATGTTCAATTTTCATAACATCATTTAACATCACAGGTTAGAGCAATGTAAATTTCACTATTCAATACAACTAATGATATTGTGGTTGCTGATGTATTATTTTACTCTAGAGATGTCTATTTCAGGATGGCCTGGTTCACTCTGACACAGCCGTGGGTACTCCAGACTATATATCTCCAGAAGTTCTGAAATCCCAAGGAGGAGAAGGGTGTTATGGTAGAGAATGTGACTGGTGGTCTGTTGGTGTCTTTCTATATGAAATGCTTGTTGGTAAGCTAATCAATTTTAAGCCAATTAAGCATTGCAAAAGCTTAGGTATTCAGTGTAAAGCAATTTAAGAAATAATTTTAAATATTTATTTTACACCCTTAGCTGTTAAAAATAACTAGACTTGAGGTAATTTATAATTATTCAGTTGTGTTTTCAGTGCATTAGGAAAACAGACCTGTTAACTCTTACGATTTTGGCGTACAACGTACGATTTTGAATTGTATACATTATATAAATACCGTATGTTTATTTTTTTACTATTAAGATAATGTATTGAACGATTTTGTGATGATGTATGATTTTAAGAGTTTGAGGGTAAACAGGTCTGGGAAGAGGAATATATTTGAATTTTGGGTTGTTTGTTGCAGGTGATACACCCTTCTATGCAGATTCTTTAGTGGGCACATATGGTAAAATCATGGATCACAAACGATCATTGAACTTCCCCTCAGATGTGGAAATGTCTGATAAAGCCAAAAGTCTAATATGTGCCTTCCTTACTGATAGGTATGTTAGCAGAAGATTTTACTCTTTAGAATTTGTAATTATATGCAACAACAGCGGCTCAATTTTTACTGATAAAATTTTTTCTTTTGGTTTCATATTAATCAATGTAAATTTGTACTCAATTTTTGTTTTTCTAGGACTGAGAGATTAGGTAGAAAAGGTGTTGATGAGATAAAAAATCATCCATTTTTCAAGAATGATACATGGACCTGGGAAAACATACGTCAAAGTAAGCAATCAGGATCCGTTCCATTGCAGTATGCCAATTCTTGATGCCATTTGCTGTTATTTTAATTGAATTTATCAGCTCCATTGTGTTTTAACTCAATAACTTCAGATTTTAATAACATATCCTAGCAACCAGTTGATTTTTTAGAGATGTACCCACAACTTTTAAGTTTTATCTTCATTATTTTTCTAGCTGTGCCTCCTGTAGTGCCAGAGTTATCTAGTGATGTTGATACAAGTAATTTTGATGAGATAGAAAAAGATGAAACACCAGAAGAAACTTTCCAACCGCCCAAAGCTTTTGCTGGGAATCATCTGCCATTTATAGGATTCACTTATAGCAAAGGATGGAGGTAAGATATCAGAAAATTTGGTAGTCAGGTGTTTGCCAATTAATTAACATATTGAATTAACATCCAATCCCCAGAATAGCTCTGAGATTGAGTTTAGCTGGTCTCAGAATAAAACTATTAAAGAATTAAATCTAGGAAAATATTATTTGTATAATCCCATTCCTAAGAGGGTTTTGCTCAATAAAATAAGTTTTGTGTTATTTATTTGCTCAAAAGGGTTTCCATGATTTTAGCAGTGTTGTGTATATATTTATAGAAGTCATTTTTTGTTTAATTCCAGTGAATTGGATCATATTTGCATCTATGTAAAACAGCAAGATCAAAATATAGTCTCATTAGAATTAATTCTTTAATTTTCATTAGACAAAATTTTTGCCGATATCATTAAATCAGGACTATTCAAATGACCTTGCACCTTCCCCTGTAGCCAACTCCTCACTATTCACAAGCTCCCTTTGCTATCAGGGTTTATAGAATTAGGATGTTTTATTCTAAATTTCTACTATATAAATTATATATATTTTTTTAAGTAGATGCTATATGAACTTGTAATTTTTTGTATAAACTGAGGCATTTCGCTATTCAAGAAATATTTTTGAATACGATTTACTTCTGACAAAAGATTTCTTAACCCTTTGAACCCTTGGCTTCTGGTCCTAAAATACTTATGCCCCTGGGAAATAGGGTAAGATTTACACAAAGAGACTCACAAACAAACATAAGTCTATGATCATAAAATAATATATATTTTATTTCAATTCTAAATTTGTCTTTCAGTAGTCCATTACTATTATAAAATATATCACAGGGAGAAAATTCTGTTTAGAGCACAGTAGACCGACACTTTGAGGCCCCTAATTTTCATAAAACCAAGGCTAAGACTAGGGATAGACTGTGTTTCTTATTTTCCAAAGCTCTCATTACATCACTTGCACTAGTTGTAGAAGTCCAAGGATTGTCACTATCAATGTCAAAGCATGATAATCATTCTTTGAATCATTTACATTACCATCAACTTTCTCTGATTGTTTAGAAAAGATCACCGCCATACATCAAAAAACGTTGCAAAAATGCAACAAATCAATGCATCCATGTGCACTGCCATTACTGTGGCCTTTGGCAAGTCACATGGTAAACTCTTACCACGGTGTATTAACAACACATTTATATTTATGGACTGTCTATCTAGGGTAAGGTATAGGAGACCGAAATATAAGTCTGGTGATATGGATTTTTAACTCCCAGACAGATGAAGTGGGATCATATGTTCAAAGGGTTAAAGTATTTATCAAACTCTTTTTTTAGGGGTGTGCCGGACCCCGGTCCGGAATCCGGTTCCGCCGGATTTTGCACTATCCGGTGAAATCCGGTTCCGCCGGATTTACATCTATCCGGAACAACCGGATTCCGGAATCCGGAATATACCGGATTTCGGAATTTGCCAGATTTTGTGACTCACCGGATCATAATCTGAAATAAAAGTAATTCTCTTTCCCGAATTTCACACGATCACGATACATTAATCGATTGTTTCGAGCGTTGAGCTTGTTTAATGTTTAATATTCCGTACATACCAGAGGCTAGAGTCAGCACCGCTAATAGTGGCCAATAGTGTAGGGACTTTGATAAGAAAATTTAAACTTTTTGTAAAAATAAACCAATGGCATAGTTGAAAAGATGTAATTTTTTAAAGAATTATAACACCAAAATCATATTTTTAGCTGTTGTAGTTTTAAAGTTATGAATTTTTAAAGTACGACTTGGTTTGTCATTTTTTAACATGGACTGCATCTCCACATTCTGTGATCTCATTCCACCAATCCCGTCATGCGCAATGACTATATAGTTTATATAAGGCAACGCATTCCCTGCCTTATCACTAAAATACTGTTTAGACTTAGTTTAAACTTTCAACTTTGGCACATGAATAATTAATTAAAGCTTTCCCTGACCAATGGTTTAATAGTTTTTGCACACGGCAAACTCTTATGAATGAAACTCTGAGGTAGTACTACGATACAGTTATGCAAGTGGCTGTGAATGGTTGCCAATGACAACGTGTTGCACACGGTAAATTCTGATCATTTATAATATGGATTCTACCGGGTTGTTAAAGCTCAAATTAAAACATTCCAGTTTAAATGTCTTTAAATGCATTCTGAAACACAAGTTATCAATTATTTTGATGTAAATAGTGATAATAAATTAATATTTCCTAAGTATCGTCAACTTCCGCCATTAAAAAGGGGGGCGTGGCCAACCCCATGGCGAAATTAGGTTGAGCGAGCTGCATAACCTGCTGCGAACGCGTAGAAACATGGCGTCTCTCGTAAGACACTTATCCAAATGGAACGGAACTCAAATATATATCGAAAGTACTAATTTAATAATAAATAGACACACACATCGGAAAATTAAAAACTCGGATTTTTTGGCGCCGATTGCGAATTCCCATACACAAAAAGTAGTAGTCCACCTTGACTTACCGAAGTATCTACCAATAGTACCAAAATCCGGAATCCGGGAGAAACCGGAATCCGGATCCGGCGGATTTCGCATAAGAAAATCCGGATCCGGATCCGGTTGGAAAAAACGGATCCGGCACACCCCTATCTTTTTTACACCAGGTCTGTTCATGAACAAGTCTTGAAATGCTTTTTGTATAGATAGAGGTCCCTGCCTAGTTTGCACAGTAGTCTCATAGTTATGTTTAGATCATAACACTATCAATACTACTAACAAGGGTTTAAGCATCTGATGCTGTTCTGAAGAAGTAACCAAAGGTTTACATGCAAAATATGTTAGGATTAACAAGGGTAATGATTTATAAATAAGAAAACATCAACACTGGGTACAAAAAGGGCAAACATTTTCACTTGTCATTTATGTCTTTAATTAAGTAATAAATGTTATTGTGTTATTTCAGTCCACAAAAAGACAGAGGCAGATCAGTGGTATGTTTTTAAAAAAAAATATTTTGGAAAAATATATTTCATGTTCTTGAAAAAGTTGCAAGGGGTTTTTATTGTTAAAAATAGTAAACATTAAAATAAATTTTAGTTAACATTTTGAGAAATAGTTTTATAAATATTGGTTTGTTATTCATTCCATTCAAATAAACTTTTGATTGGTTATTTTTTAATCTGAAAAAAGTTTATTAAAAACTTTTTAGTAGCTATTGCAGATATCCTTTTCTCAATTGCAGTCAATACCTATCGAGGGTCAGAATGATTTTGCTCTGAGAGTGCTAGAAGATAAACTTGTAGCTGAGAAAGCTGCAAAGGATGAAATTGAAAGAAAATACAAGTAAGCATTCAAGATAAATTATACAGCAAGAAATTTAAAATTGCTTAATTGCCTTTTAACTACCCATTAGCTGAATGTGTTATTCAGTTCAAATTGGTTTAACAGTTTCCTTTAACCAGTATTTTTTAAGGTAGATTTTAGGCTTTCCTAGTTATATTTTATGATTCTAACATTGTATTTATTTTAAAACTTAGGCAAACATTAGAGGAAATAGAAAATCTTACACAGGAAGAGTCAAGCATAAAAAGAGAGTTTCGAGAGATGGAAAAAGAAATTGCCCTTATTAAACATGATTTGAAAGAGGTAATTTTTCAAAGCTTTTCTTTAAAAAATAAAAGAAAAATATCTATAAAACATCAGCCTGTTGTATTTCCCACAGTCACAGATTACTGAAATTCTTTACTCTTTCATTCAGAATAAATATTTATTAGACCATTAATTTTATGTTAGTACCCAATCAACAAGAGAAGCAGTTAAAAATATATAAATTTCCTTGTCCTATTTTAGACTCAACGCAGATTGGAGACTGAGACAGATAATAAGAAAAAAGTGGAGCTGCAGCTCAAAGACAAAATAAAAGAGTTGGAGGCTGAAACTAATTTGAGAGTGCAAATGTCCAGTAATTCTGCAAATTCCTCAGAGAGAGTGAACTTTTTGGAGCGATCGGTGTGTTTTATTGGATGAAATTAACTTTTAAAAAAATATATTGTTCTTTTAAAGACATATATTAGCATTTTACTATTCAATAAATGTTTGAATACAGTACAGTTACTTAAACCAATTATATGTTCTTCACACATTTGTAATTATTTTATTATAGGCCACTTTGATGTTATTTTGATACTTGTGTGAAAACAACTCCTTTTCTTTTATTATTTAATGTTAAGACAAAGTTGAACTTTTTTTTTTAGATTTCTGACTTAAATGAGAAACTGCGAACAGAATCAGAAGCATCCAACAAGCTCAAAAAACAGTATACAGAGTTACAGCAGAGGAATGCAGCCATGGAGCAGAATTTCAATGAGCTGAATGGGAAATACTACGAAGTCCATGCATTGCGACAGACACTGCAGAATGAACTGTTTTCACTCCAGACAACACTTGATGCTGAGAGAAATAACAGATCACAAGACCAACAACGTTCCCAAGAACTTTCGGGTAAGTTGTGGACTTACAACTTGTGTTACTAACTAGTCCATATTTTTTTTATTACTACTATCCAACAGCAAAGATATACTATTTACGTGGCCGTGTCTTTGTTAGATGTAAGGGTTGGTGTCAGAAGTACTTGGAAGTAAAGATGCTCCTTTGTTAATAAGGAGGATGGTACATTAAAGAGTAGGGACTGAGAAACCCTTTGATATACACAAAACCTTAGTTTGCCTTGAACTTTGTTTCTACAGAACTTTTAAATATTTCCCTTTCCTAAACATTAATATATTAAAAATACAGCAGGCACAGACTTAACCATATTATATTATGGTATGTAGTATTTGAATTACTATCTCAAGAAAGGTAAGAACCTATGAAATGTATTTGAGGAAATTGATGAATATTTATACTGTGTTTAAAAAGAATAAAAGGCAGTTCAAATTTTGAACAAATAAACTTTTTAATTTCTCTGAAAAAGCCCAGCTGTAATACTGAGGCATAAAAATTGTTCACAGCATTGTTGAGATATTATATGGATTAATTTCTCTTAGTGTAAAAATATTAATTATTGGAAGATATAATATTATATATATATTAATTTCTTAGTTTTTTGAGATATACAATAAGTTTGCTGTGTTTTATTCCTCAGTGTTATTTACATGGAATTTGTCATTAATGGCATGCTAAAAAGCAGGTATAATTTAATAATTTAATGATTTTTAATTGTTATTCTTTTAGAGCAAATCCAGATAATGCAAAATGAGAAACTCATGTCGCAGGACAGGGAAAGAAATTTCAACCAGAATAAACAAGAGATGCAGCAGAAAATATATGAATTAGAAAAGGTTAAAATCATTTTAAGATATAATTAATTAGTATTTAATTACAACTGAACAAACTTAATATATTTAATTTGAACTCAATAAAGATGATTTAATTTGTTATAATACTTATTCCACTAATCTTATAATGTCGTTTAAAAAAAAAAGTAACCCATCTAAGTTTTTCATGAATTAAATCTAAATTTACTTAGCAGGGTTGGACAATCTTTTCAATTCTGTGTCCTAAAGCTGTCATTTACAAATTTGCTAAATGGTCTTGCTTGCCAACCAAAATATCAGGGAATATTATTAAGTATCCAGAGAAAACTTCCAAATCATTAAAAATAATTACTATATGGAATCATTAATCCTGAAGAGATTGACAGCTTTTAACCCTTTCTTTTACCGATGACGCTGACGCGACGTCATGATCACCCACTTTCAATTACCAAGAACGTCATATTGTCGGCAAAGAACTTTTCTGAAATACCTAGGACATCACGTGGACGTCATAATTCAATGCTATATATTTCTTTATTCGTTAATATATAGAGAAGTTAATAAGCAAATCAGTTAGAGAATGAAAAATACAGAAAGTTTCTTCTTTAAAAGTTATTTATTGCAGAGTCCGCAAAAATTGATGCCAAAACCAGTGGTAATGAAAGGGTTAATGGGGTCATTTGTTGTGGATTTCAGTCTTATTATTTTAAGGTTAACATTAGTCAGTGCTGCTTAGTCACTATGGCTTTGTTATTGTGTATTGCTCCACTTTAAGAGTTGTATATAATAAAATTAAAACACACAAATATATGAAGAATCAGGACATTTATTTATTTTTAAAGGTAGTTATTTGTGTGGTTGAAAATAATAATTTGCATGCCACATTTGGGTTGTGTAACGGTGGTTACCCACCCATGTATGCATGTATACATGAGTTAAGAAGTAAGTTTGAATGAGTTCTTCGTTGAGTTTATTAGTAACCACATAATAAGTCTTTATTGTGCTTGAGCTGTTATTCATTGTTAGGTTTGCCAAGTCTTAAATTTTTTTGGTTAGATTTACATTTTTAAATAATAATAAAAAAATTAAGAGCTAGATTTTTTTTTTCACGCCTTTTCATATTTTTTAATTAACTATAAATAAATAACTGTTGAAAAGTTATGTTTCTTTCTGTGAACACCTGTCAACCCTATTCTTAAAAACCATTACTTTTTTCTTCTTGTTTCCTGTATATCAGAAAGTAGCAAGTGTAGAATTGGACCGTGAAAACTTTAAGAGAAAATGGGAAGCAGAGCAGCAGGCACACAAAGAAACTCAAGCCAAATTTAATGCAGATAGGAATATTCTCAACTCAAAGGGTCAGGGTAATCCAGAGGCAGTGAAAGGTAAATTTTCTTTAATATCTTAACATTATATTTTTAAATAAATTGTTTCAAGGGAAAGTAAATTCATTACCAACTACAAAAACATTTAATAAAAATATTAAAGTTTCCCAGTGGCCATTAGTCAATCTTTTCTAATAAAGCTTGAAATCTGATAACACAGTTAATTCAGCATATGTTACAATATTGAAAATGAATGATTTTTTACTTTTAAATAATTACTTCTCTTATTCCACATTTATTAAGAAATTCAAGCCAAGTTGGAACAAGAAAAGGCTCAGAGACAACATGTGGAAACAAAGCTATTAGATGCAGAAAAGAAAAATAGTGAGATTAGTGTTGACATGACTCAGTTACGCCAAAAAGTGCAGGCATTACAAACAGAGCTCAGAATGGAGTCTGACAAGGTGAAAATCTAATTTGAATTCAATTTTTCCAGGACCAAATACTTGTTTTAACACAAAATAATCTCCCATTAAATACCAATCTTTTTTTCATAAATTTATGGTTTGAGTGTCTTGTTTCACTGTGGTAATTCTTCTCCTATTAAATTATTTATTTATTTTTCAACCAGTGTAAAAATTTGGCCCTCCAAGCTGAACAAGAAAGTCAGAGACGAAACCTCATGTTGGGTGATTTGAAGAATCAGACTCAAGATTTGCAAAGGGTTAAAACAAAGGAAAAACAGTTAGCCAAGGTAATAAACTACCATCAGTTAAAAGTTGTGTGAATTTTGAAATTGTACTCTGTGAGTAACTAAATTTCATTATGCTTTTGTTATTCAGTATATGATTTCAAGGATGAAGACGTGTGTTTGTGTGTGACAAATTAAAAAAACAAAAAAAAATTATTATTATTTTTTTTTTTTTTTACTGTTGCATAGGAAATTCAAGATTTAAAGGAAGAAAAGAAAAACCTAGATGATGAAATCAAGAAATTAAAAGAGTGAGTAAATATTTCTTAAGAGGAGTTTTCTTTTTGATATTTGTTTTTCTTACAATACTATTGTAATGTACAAAATATTTCAATAGCCAGATAATGTTAAAAGATTTTCTTAAAATTCCTTAGTGACAAATTGAAAAGCTTTTAAATTTAATAGGCAAAATAAAACAAATATAAATATAAAAAATTGAACAAATATTCTATGGGAAATTTCACTAATTACTCCTTTTTTAGTGAAGGTTCTCAGAATGATAGTGTGATAAAGGATTTACAAGAGCAGCTGGAAGCAGAGACTTACTTTTCTGTAAGTATGCAAAAAGCAATAGATTATTTATTCAGCCATTATGACAATTTATTCAGCCATTATGACAGTTGAAAGCAGACATTTTTTCCTTAACAAAGCAATTCATTATGTATCAGATTGTATATGTGCATACAATTTTTATCACACTCTAACTTCTTGACTGCCACAGGAGTATTCCTAGTGTATATAAGTCAGTTATTTTTGAAAGCATTGGAATGATTATTTAAAAATTGATAACACAAACCATATATTATACCCAAAAGTTTAATATTGTCTTGGAAGCTGTTGTGCTATACATTAGAGAATTTCGAACAAATGTTTTATTTTGAGAAATGGCAACACTATGAATTGTCATTAATTTTATTTTATATAGTCGCTTTACAAGACTCAAGTGAAAGAACTGAAAGAAGAGATTGATGAGAAGAAAAAGCAAATACAAGATCTTACATCAGATGTTCAAAATATGCGTCTAGAGAAGTCAGTGAAATTGATAATTTTTCTTTAAAAAATCTATTTTTTTTTTAAATTAAAAGAGAAATTAGAGAATTGTTTTATTTCAGTGCCATGTTTACAAAATTGAACCATTAATATTAATAATAATAATAAAGTTCATTTCAAAAACACGCTTCATCCCCAAAGGCTCGAAGCGCGGTTCAAAGTCAACAAAAAACAAATCTATAATTCACCACATTTAAAACAAACGCAACACTACAAAAGCTAATTACAAGCATACAATGGCAAAGTCTTTCTAGCCATTTCAACCATAAGCAACACAGCCATAATGCATTAACTGGAAAATAAGGTAGACAATCATCCCAGAAGGTGTTTGCGAAATAGATGTGTCTTTAAATCGGTTTTAAAAGACTCCAGTGTCTGGTTGTTTCTGAGATCGACAGGAAGGGCGTTCCAAATTGTTGGACCAGCAAATGCGAAAGTGCGCTTTCCGTAAGTCTCAAGGCAAACACGTGGTGTCGAGAGTTTGCCACTATCGGATGAGCGGAGCTCTCTAGTGGGTACATAAGGCGTCAGCAGCTCTTTCAGATAGGACGGCGCCAGGTCATGTAAGCAGCAGTAGCACAAAGTTGCGATTTTGTACTCTATGCGAGCACGCACCGGCAGCCAATGCAACTCTCTCAGAAGTGTTTTTGCATGGTCGAACTTGCGTTTGCGGAGAACAATGCGAGCCGCATTATTCTGTGCTATTTGAATTTTATCCAGGAGCGTAGCTGGAAGACCCACCATGAGAGCATTGCAATAGTCCATGCGTGATAGCACAAATGCAGACATCAGCCTCTTTGTTGCATCAATTGTTAGGAAGGGCCTGATGTGACTAATCCTGCGCAGCTCCAGAAAAATCGCCTTGCATAGCATGTTAATATGACTTTCAAAAGTTAGTCTTCTATCTAGGTAGACACCCAGGTACCGCACTGTTTGAGCTAACTCAATACGCACACCTGAGAGAGTAATGGATGTCGTGTTATTTGCAGATTTTTGCTTCTGAGCGGTCGCGATGGGGAGCAGCTCAGTCTTATCATCATTTAATTTGAGCTTGTTTATGGTCATCCAGTGCTTAACCGACTCCATTCTCTTCTGTGTCATACTGAGCAGCTGAGGGAACTGAGAAGGGATCACGGATTGATGAAGTTGTGTATCGTCCACGAACATGTGATACAACATGTCAAAATGCCTGATCTCTGCACCCAGGGGCTGAATGTACATCTTGAAAAGCACCGGGCCTAGGACGGAGCCCTGGGGTACTCCGAATTCGATATTAAATTTCTTCGAGGTCAAGCCGTTTGAAATAACTGACTGTACCCGATTAGTCAGATACGATCGGAACCAACACAGGACGGTATCAGTGAGACTGAACGTTTGTTGCAGATGCTGGAGCAGTATGCCGTGGTAGAGCGTATTGAAAGCTGCCGATAAATCGAGTAAAGACAAAATCGATACCTGACCCTCATCACAAGACGACAGAAGGTCGTTTACGACGCGCAACAGGGCTGTCTCAGTAGAGTGATGTGCCCTGTATGCTGACTGGAATGGTTCAAACAAGTCAAACTGAGTGAGGTGATCCAGGAGTTGGCGGAGAACGACTTTTTCTGAGATTTTAGAAATAAATGGTAGATTTGAGATGGGGCGATAATTTTCCGTCACATTTGGGTCAAGATTTGATTTCTTTAATAGTGGAGTGACGATCGCCTCTTTAAAAGATGATGGAACAATACCAGTAGCTAAGGACTGATTTATGATATAAGTGATGATGGGGACTATTTCATCCAGACATTCATACAAGAGCCCTGCTGGAAGAGGGTCAAGCCAACATGACTTTCTTGGGGTATCAGCAAGGATTTTCCTCACATTTGATTCACTGACCTCAACAAATTCACCCATAGAAGAGCCGTTGAATAGTGAGAATTCTGGAGCAGTATCGATGCAACTGTCAAGTTTCACTCTGATCCTCTTAACTTTTGTAATAAAGTAGTCATTTAGAGCGTCTGGCAGCTCTTCTACAGCAATGTTATTTGGCAGAGATGTAGCCTTGTTTTTACCGGTCAGCTGACCCGCAATGCAAAATAAGTCCTTGCTTGAGCTGCTGCCTGTAATCTGATGACTAACATACTCAGTCCTATGTGCAAGGACCAACCTCTTGGTTCGTTCCCTGTGGTCAACAAAGATTTGTTGGTGCACAGTCAAGCCCGACTTTCGCCATTGCCGTTCTACACGTCGCTGCTTCTGCTTAGCGTCCTTAATTTCGGGCGTGAGCCATGGGGCAGAAGGGTGGTCCGTAACTCGCCGTGTGGACAGTGGTGCATGTTTGTCTAAAATTACTCTGAGGCCACTGCTGTAGTCTGTAGCAGGGTCATCTACACCGCACTCAAGGGCTGCGACGTCACATCTAAAGGCCGCTAGATCTATCTGTCGGAGGTCACGGGATGTTACTGATCGCAGAAGGCGTCCTGGCTTCCTCAAGTCAAAGTCGAAGGCGACTGGGAAGTGATCAGAAATAAGTTTGTCCTCAATAATGAGGTTTTGGATCATAGCTGCCCGGTCCTCTCTGACAACCAGCCAATCTAGGATGTGACCTCGCTTCTGCGTCGGGACACTGACAAGCTGAGTCATTCCGTGTGTGTCGAGAGCTGATTTTAGGGTCTTCAAGTAGCTGTCGGTGGTGGAGTCGAAATGGCAGTTTATGTCGCCGATTATGATGACATTGTTGTTGCTGGTGGCATACATGTCAAGGAGTTGTATAAACTCCACAGTAAACTGACAGATCTTCAACTTATTTTGCTTATTTGGAGGTGGCCTGTATATGCACAGAAACGTCATCACTTGTTCACCGTAATTAAAGGGGGGGGGGGGGGGGGGGGGGCGATGCTAAACCCTGTAGTTTTATATACATTAAAACTCTTTTTTTGCCTAATTGAGTTACAATTGATACGAGTGTTTTTACATACATTTTCAGAGATTCTATAGGGGCACAACTCCAGCTTGCCTTGGCTAAAGCTGACAGTGAACAGCTTGCTAGACAGATAGCTGAAGAGCAGCTGTCTGATGTAGAGAAAGAGAAGACCATGCTAGAACTGGAGATTAAAGAACTTATGTCTAGACAAAAGAATGACTCCAATAAGAAAGAATCCCAAATTTTATCTGTAAATGTTACTTGCAATTTTTTTGTGCTTTAAAGACAAATGAAAATACCGCTATAACAAAGTATTTTAAATTTAACTAAATTCTTTAAAAAGAAATTATTACTTTAACATAACTTTTTAATTTTGTTCCATTCTAGATTTTATAGTTTTTAATGTCTATTTACTCTCACATATAAAATGTATCTTTTCCATTAAAAAAATCTTGGCTAAGATGTTTTAAAAGTTTCCCTGTTTTACTTTCAGTTGGAGGACAGTAAAATTAACTTAAGCAATGAAGTTGAGAGATTGCAAAGAGAAAAGGATAGCCTTAATAATAAAATTAAAGCTCTTAATGAAGGTATATAAATTTATATAACTTAAAAATTGGTTTAAAATTCTCTGGCAAAATGAGTATATTTAAAATACTTAAAATAATTAGTGATATGAATGGAATTTCTGATTTGTGTATATAGTTTTTGCAATTTGAAAAACGATCAAAATGGCTAGATATTGGTTTTTAAATTCTAAATTATGAGGAAATAAGCCTATTTATATTTTTACTTTCAGACATCCTTAAATCAAAGAATACTGAAGTTGATAAACTCAGGAAATCACTTGAAGAAGAGAAGCTCAAGAAAACTCAAGTAATTTTTTCTAAAATATTAGTAGATAGGATATAAAAAAACAACAAACAACAAATTACAGTTTTATAAGGGAAAAAAAATCCACTTTTCTTGTAATGTTTTTATACCCCTTTAGAAAAAAAAACAAAAAACTATGCATGTTTATAAACCAATAAGCTTTTATAAAGTTATTAAAAAAAATTTTTGGGGGGTTTTATTCACCATTTTAAATATTTCTAATACAGGCTGTTAATAAATTGGCTGAAGTGTTGAACAGAAAAGATTTCAACCCAACTAAAGGAGGCAAAAGCAAGGCTGCTGAAGCTGAATTGAAAAGAAAGGAAAAAGAGAACAGAAAGTTACAACAAGAGCTAACAATGGTAACAGCCTTTATACTTAAAATACTTAGCATTTGAAATGAGATAAACTGGGAAGACATTTTGTTTTTACACCTACATTTGCAAGAGCTGTTTTGACTGTACTGCAATTGAAACTAAAGCAAATAGTTCAACCAGGAGTCCTCAAACTATGGACATGGGCGACTTCTATTTGGGTCCTCAACCCAGCCTTCCTGGCCATTGCTTGTTCCCTTGGAAGCAGTGACAAATATAGAACAGTACGTTGACCATCTATTTTGTGAAAAGCAGGCCCATACTTCCCACTGAAATACTAATGTTGATTAAGATTTTCAAAGTGTGGCCCTAACAGAGTCTGAGGGACAATGAACTGGCCAGCCCCCAAGTGTCCCCCTGATTAACAACCAGATTGAAAAACAGGGTGTGGCCGCATTAAATTTAGGTCACATTTTCTTATTGCAGGTGTATGTACAAATTCAGCTGCAGTTTTCTTAATTATAAACATTCTAATGAGCAATAAACCATTTTGTAGGTAAATAAATTGTCTGTAAGATAGATAGATGTAAAACATTTGTAAATTTTATTTTCCGTAGAAAATTTTTAATTGTTAAACTAGTAATACAACAGAACAACACTAAAAAAATATATAAATGCCCACCTTACCTATAAATTTTAAATTGCCAAAACATTTAAAGCCTTTCATTTGGAGGTTTCAAAATAGTATTTCCAATAATAATAAGAAAAATGCACACAAGAAAACAGAAACTGAATAATATTTACACTTCCAATTACTTATATGCCTATAGTAACCCTTTGGCTTGTTGCCATGTTAAACAAGTTTTACAATTTTGTAACCAGCTTGGAAATTAAATCAAAATGAATTAACAGCTTGTTTTTTAAAAACTTCTGCTGATAGCATGTGGTTAAAAATAAACATTCTGTCCTTAAATTAAAATTTTGAACTAAAATGGGGCGGAATAATATAAATATTTGACTTGTTTAACTACGACACAAACATTGGCGCTACCAGCTGCTCATGGTCATACTTAAAGAAGCTCTTTGGTGCTCCCAGTGGCTCATTGTAGTTAACCAGTTAAATAGTTTGAGGACACCAAAGCTAAACAAACACTTTTATCTGTTTTCAATATCAGGAGATAAATGAGAATTTTCAATAAGATTTTTATTGATATAAGTGGTTTATTTTTATTATATTCCATGCAGGAACGTGAAAAATACAATAAGATGGTTGAAAAGATGCAACGTGATGTCTTAGAAGCCCAGCAGTCTGTATATGAAGAGAGCCAGGCTAGGCAAAGACTCCAGATGGAAATAGATGCTAAGGACTCTGAGATGGAACAGTTGCGTCAAAAATTGGCCTTTAATAACTCTGACACTGTCTCTGTGAACAGTGGAAATATTGGCAATATGGATGATAGTATTAATATTTCTGAGGATTCAGGAGGTAGTTTGTGTGTATTAGTGTCTTAGTATTCCCATGTGCCACTATATCTTTTCAGGAGTTTCCAAGCTAGTATAAATCTTATTGTACAAGAAATTTTAAATATAATTTTACATTACAGATAAAAACTCAAGATTGCAATTGATGGCTTTTATCAATTTCAATAATGCATTTTAAAAAATATTCTAATTGCTGATTGCATATCTACGAATTCTAAATTATGTTTTTTTAACTTTTAATAAGTGAACTTAAATTTGAATTTTAATAATTTAGCGCAAGCGAAATAATGTATGAAAAAGAAATTTTAAAACAACATATTAATGCAGCAAATAATAAAAAAATTACACTTTCTTGCTGATATCAATAAAAAGTTGCTGCATCAATTTATTTGAGATGAGAATCAAAATTAAATTTACCTAATTACACTTCTGATGAATAGTTTCTCATCTCCTTAATTCACCAGTGACTTCTGATTCCCACATGGAAGGGTGGCTAGCTGTTCCCAATCGTAACAACATAAAGAAATATGGATGGAGAAAACAATATGTTGTAGTTAGCAGTAAAAAAGTTCTGTTTTTTAATTCTGAGAGTGATAAACAGAACACCGATCCCATTATGGTTCTTGACATAGAGTAAGTAACTCTGATACAATTAAAATTACATTTGTTTATGACATTTGATGTAAGGGTCAATGATAAGAATTTTAAATGTACAGATTAAAAAATTAATTTGGATGAAAAGTGGGTATTATCTACACATGGCTGTACTGTACTGTTTTTATACACAATTCTGTTCAATGTAGGCTTTTGGTGGATAGCCAACAACCCTGTCTTGTGCTTTATTTAAAAATTTCACGACATAATTAAAATTTCACTACATAATTAAAATTTCAATCTCTGATAATTCTTGTTTTAGCAAAGTGTTTCATGTTCGACCAGTTACTCAGGGTGATGTTTACAGGGCTGATGCTAAAGATATCCCACGAATTTTTCAGGTAAAACTTGTCCTCAATTTATTCAGTTTTTAAAATTAGATATTAATTTTTAAAATGTTTTGATGTTATGGACCGCTGTAATTTGTCTCCGAAAGGTTAACCTCTTAAGTTGTTCTTTTTTTATCTTGATTCCTTAATCTTAATATTAAAGGGGACTGTTCTTAGTGGACAACTATACATTAGGTGTGCAAAAATGCTTGTTTCTTTTTTTAACCCTAAAACTGTCAAGTGCTTTTTCTGTGGTGTCTAGTCATTTTGAGTATTTTCATATGCATGTCAAAAATGACAAAATCACAAACTAAATGAATTCAGAGACCCTTACAAGTATACATTTTCTGAAAGTACATTGGACATAAAAAATAATTTTTTGTTATACTATGTGTTGATTTCAACCTTGACATTTACAGATTGAGTTAAAATTTACTACTCAATTCCTGAATTCAACCCAACCTAATAGTCCATAAATTGTTCAGACTATCATAAATCAAGTTTTTGAGATACTAGAAACAATATTCAAAACAAAATGTCAAGTTATATGTACTTGCATTGAAAATTTTAACATTGGCGAATTTCTTTTCATTCACTGCCTTCAAATTTCTGTCATACAAAATACTAAGGCAACGAAATGAGTTCAAAAATTACTTCTCAAGGGAAGTTACTAAATCTAATTTTTAATTAATTAATACTCCAGAACATAGACAAACAAATGACTTTGAATCTCTTTGGGGTAGGTCTATTTGGGATCCAGTTTTTTTCTTTTCTGTGTGATTTCCATCCTTTCCCAAACAAATTTATCTGTAACAATAAGGCTTAGCTTAAGGTTAAAATTGTCAATATCTGACTCTTATCTCACCATCATTGCTAGAGCTAATACTAGAATGTGGATTATCTCTGATATCCCTTTTTCACTTCAATACATTTGAAAAAATTCCAATTAAGAATTTCTACGTTGATTTTGCAATCTAGAGGGGGACTCTCTCCAGCATCAGACATAGTGGCGGTTAAAAAAAAAGGAAATTTCACACCAGATTAACTCTTTCCGTGCCAATCGACAGTATACTGTCGATTTGACTGGTTGCGTTCGTGCCAACCCACAGTATACTGTCGATATCATTTATGTAGTTTATTTCGTTTCTTGTGGCTCTTAATCCAACTTTTTTTGTTCTTAAACGAAGGATAACTCTTACTACTTCCTTTTTTAAGAAGTAGGGCATGTTTGCATGTGTTTTTTCTAATAATAGTTCAATTTGTGTTGAAACTTTTGTAAATAAAGCCATGGCTACGCCCACTCCAAGCATGTCAGCTGTTGCTAGACCACGTAGGTAGTCAATTTTGCAAATAAAAGACCTTTTATTGCTAATTATTGATGCTGAAACAACATACAATAACCATGAATCATTTGAATCTGATTCCAATGATGATTTTTAGCATTCTGATGGGTCGGTAAATGGAAATAGTAATAGAATGGTGATAGTACTGATAGTAATAGTAATAGTGGTAACTGTCGGCAATTTCATAAAAATTTCAAAACATTTTTTAAAATATAAAAATGCCACAAATGTGTAGAGCCTAGAGAATGGATTTAAAAAAAACACCCAGATCAACTTTCTAGCTCAAGTAGTTAAAAAGTTATGAATTTTTTTCAAAACTACTTTGTTACTATGGCAACAGTGAGGATTCAGATAAGAATACTCCTAACGTTACAAAAATGGGTATAACTCCATAACAAATTGGAATATTTTCTAAATGTAAAATGCATTGAAATCAAAAATGGATATACTTTTTGGGGATTGAAGCAGAATAGGATATTATATTTAGCAACACAGACCGTATGGTAGTCTGATAAGTTCAGATTTGGTGTGCAATTTTAAAAATATAAAAAATTTGATCTCACAATTTAACCTAAAAAATTTAACTTATTGTTGTTTTATTGTTTTATATTTTACATATTATTATTCTCTGTCTAATTTCCTTTAATTTGATATGAAATACAGCTATCTTGCTAAAAGAAATGTATTCAAAATTAATTAATAGATAGGAGCACCCTAAAAAGATTTCCCATGCCCGAATACTGGTCTGGCACGAACGTGGAAAACCCCCTGGCATGGAAAGAGTTAATAAAGAAAAAAGCCCAGATAAAAGCACATTAACACACAGATAGTAACCAAAATAGGAAGCAAGCTCATTTATTTCCCCTCAACCAATATACAATATTATTATTCGCATTTTTGATGACGATTTTACTAGCAGCCGATAATATTCGTCGGGGCACCACAGAAAGGGGTTTAACGACCGATTATTTACTGTTGTGACAGTTATAGGGTTTCACAAATCATTTATTCTCTTTTTTTCTTGCATGTGTAGTGTTTGTGTGGTCGCCCCCCCCCCCCCCCCCCGCTTACTCAATGTTATTTTTACTGAGACTAAAATGGTGATAATTAATTTCAATGTAAAGATACACAATAAAGACTTTTATTACATCATAAAATATAAGTTTTATGAACATTTAAACTACAAAATTTTCTCTATTATAAGATTTTGTATGCAAGTGAGGGAGAGAATCGTAAACCTAATGAGGCTACTCAAGAGATTGCTGCTTCTGTCTTAGTTGGTGCCATTATCTACAAAGGACATGACTTTATACCAATTAATTACCGTACACCAACATCTTGTGACTCTTGCCACAAACCTGTCTGGCATGTCATCCACCCCCCACCAGCCTTAGAATGTAAACGTAAGTATTTCAATTTTAGCTGAGGCTATTTAAAACTATACCCACAACATTGTACTTTTACATAATTTTATTGTAAATTTGCTATAAAAAAAGCTAGTTTTTTGTGGAATTTTCATACTTGTGATTTATTCAGAAAATGGAAGAGTGAACATTTGTTAAAATCAATGTAATCAAACAGCTTTCTTAATATTTGTAAAGAAAAAAGTGTCGTTTATTTCTTACCAACTCTAAATGTCTATTATTATACAATATTTCCTCAGATTGTCATGTTAAAGTACATCGAGATCATTATGATAAAAATGAAGAATTCATTGCCTATTGTAAAGGTAAATTTCTTTTATGTAATAAAAATACACACCATAAACACTTTAATCAATAGTATTTTCTATGTTATTTCTACTTATTTTATAAAATTAGACCAAGTATAATTATTTTTTTCGTGTTTAAAACCTATCACATAGAATAATTGTTTGTCCAAAAAAATATTTTTGCTCAGTATTTAGCCGTACTGAAAAGTTTGAATAGACATGATGCATGTTTTGAAAATAATTTCTGCTCTAGTAATAGATTAAAATTTTTCTTTAATTTTTGTCTCAGAGCATCTTACCAAATTTTAAAACAGTAATTGTGGCATGCTTAGTAAAAGTCATGCATATTTTATTTGAAATTTATTTTAAAAATTTAAATGTTCTTTTCCCAGTGAATTTTGACTCCAGTATCCAAGCTAAAGAAATGTTGTTGCTAGCTGAGTCAACTGAGAAACAAAAAAATTGGGTTCAGCACCTTAGTAGAAAAGTTGTCAAAAAGGGCATTGTTAGCACTGGAAATCTTACGTGAGTTGTTTGATTTTTTTCCACCGTTTTACACATTTAAATAAACAAATATAAATCCTTGAATTAAAATCCTTTAAAAAAAATTAGTTTATGGGCCTTTTGAAATTCGATTTCCGTGATGTGATTTTTACATTAATTATTGGATCTGCATAGCCTGTGTTTATTTTTATCAAAATATTTATTTCAACGTAAAACTTTTTTTCAGCACGAATCGAGGCACAAAGCAATATTCATCATTTGGACCTCAGCAAAGAGGTCACCCACAGGCCGGCAAATCAGCCACATTGCCACCACCCAATGCTCGCAACTCATAGTCATTATTTCAAAAAAGCTTGTTTACTATGTATAATTGAACATAGTATATTTTAAAAAATTGATCTTGTGGGATAATATAATTATAAGTAAGAAAAGAGTTTAATTTTTCGCTCTAAAAGTTCTTACAATGGTGATTTGTGTTTACAGCCTTAGATACTAAAGATTGCTAAAGAGGTTGATATTGAACGTACTCAGAATAAAATTGTTTATTTAATGTTAAGTGCAAGCTAAAAGAGTTGTATACTGACTTTAAATCATAAGTTATGTTAATAATACTGTTGAACCATTTAAACACACATTTTTATTTATTAATATAAATGTACGTTAAATCTTTTAATGCTGAAAGTGTATTTATTTATTCATATAATTTAGGGAGAAAAACATCTGCTGCTGTTAATGTAATTTTTGAAAGCAACGAGAAATCAATACATTTGTTAGCTTAAACTTGTGTATTCATGGAAAGGTAGGATTTATTACCTGTATTATTTTTTTTCACTTTATCTCAAATAACTTTTTTTAAAAAGCATTTCTTTCATTCATCACTGTCAATAGCAAGTCAGTGGGTCCCAAATTAGTTTTGTGCTACACCAAGATTTTCACAGAAAATATTTATGAATCGGAAACGGTTCCTGGTAGTGTTTAATTCATTTTAAAAAATTGGATTGAAGTTAATACTTTTTGATAACTTACATCATCTTATCATCCTTATAGTACACACTCCGTCTCAAATTTACAAACAAAATCATGAAAAGCTGTTCATTTATGGTTTATATTATTTGAAGTCTTATATTAAATCGTCTTCAAGACCAAAAAAAACTAGAGAAGCTCTCTCTTTTCTGTCCCCCGATTAGAATATTGATATGGTTTTACCAAATATCATGAATCACTGTAGAAGTAACATGAAAAAATAGGTTTGAAGAGACGCAAGGATATTTATATTTGTATGTCAGAAAAGAGTAATGATATTTTGACAGACCAAATAACTCATTAAATTTAAATATATCTTTATTATTAAACATAATTTGATAGGTGTATTTTAAATAACATATAACAGATTTTAGAAAAGCATGTTTTTTTTATATAAATTATAAATAAAATTAAATTTTGTGTCAATTAAATGCTAACATTAACCTTTGGACTTTTGGAAGTTACAAAACTGTTTCTGACTTAATGTTTGAAGTTTGTAGTAGCACTTAGTATTTGTGAACATAAGAAATATTATTTATTTCAAATCAGTTCTTAATTGGTTCCCATGAATCATTTTGATTTAATGCAAAGATTTTAAGATTTAGCTTAATGATACAATCAGTTTAATAAACTAATTTGAATTAAACTGAGATTTAAAATAAATAAACTTCTTGGGTTTTTGCTAGCTTTCTTATAATTAGTTGTTATCATTATTTTCTATCAAATTTATGATAATTTCTTATTTAATGGATGATCAGAGATGAACAAAATCTGAGGATTAAGATAATAATTCTTTCTTTCTATGACTTGTCTGAATGCAAACTTGTGTAGTCAATACTCGTAAGCATTTCAGTACAAGTTTAATTTCACCTGTTTGCTAATGAAATACTCAACTGTATGATAACTACCCTTCTGGGTGTATTCACTTCTAAAGAAAATTTTTGGCTGGGAAAGTGGGAAAGTTACTGGGCTTTCTCTAAGATGTCAAATGGTAATCAGATTTTTGATAACCGATTTTGTAAACTTTTATTGAATTTATGTTTTTTGTTTCAACCAAAAGCATAAAGAATTAATTTGCACACAAAAAGAAAATTAAAATACTGGTATAAAAATAATTATGTCCCTTATTGACATTGAAAATATTGACTTCCCGACATCTCAGCTACCTTATCTATGATTCTTATTATAAGCATCCTTTGGAGAATAGAGTTAAAAGTTTCTTTTCAAAATAATACAAAGCAACATATTTCCCTGACAAAAAGAAAAAGCAAATATTTTGGTTCATTGCAAAGTTATCCCTGCCAGTATTAGTTTTATATAGCTTGCTGTGCAAGTTGTTGGAGTTCCTACTATGAATACCAATAAAAACCCATTATTGGTTTAAAATTACATATTTGAAAACAAAATATGTTGTTGCCATAAAAATAAACATTAACATCCCAATTTTTCTAAAATCATCTTTTTTAAGCCAGCGGGTCCCAAATTTGTTGTGTGCTACACCAAGATTTTTATAGAAAATGCATTATAAATAAGAAACAGTTCCTGGTGGAGTTTATCATTTTTTCATGTGTTTCATTTGGTGTTATGGTTTTGGTGATGCTGTAACATGTTAATGTGCAGTAACCGGCTAATTAAAGTAAAAAACATTTAGAAGCATCTGTTAAGTTTGCACTATTCCCATCTAATTGATGTATTACCCTTCATTTTTAGATGCTGCATTTTCTCTGTGTAAAGGTTTTTAAAAATGGGGCATTCTGTTTTAGATGTTACCGGCGCCATATGACTCTGAGATTTGTTTACTCAGTAGATGTTAACACAACTTAAGCAGATGGCCTTAAAAGTTATAGCTAAGATAAAAACAATTATTTTTATTTTGCATTAAGAATGTACTAAAGTTTCAAACAGAAATTTTTAGCAAATAATAAAGTTTGCAATGATGTGGCTTGATAATTTTCGGACATTTTCTCATTCCATCAGTGAAGCACTTCAGTTGCAGTATGCTATTTGGGAATCAAAACACTTCCACACAAAACACACACTCATTCTCTGTTTCCATTTCCCCGAGTGGGGAGTGCTCTACCACAACACAAATTATTTTAATATAAATGTATTTCTATTGTAATAAAGAGAGACCACCATAAATAGTTCTCTTGTCCTACAACAAAAGGTTCACCTGAAGTGGTTCTCTGTTTTGGTGTACTCAACTTTTTTTGGCATTATTTTCAGAAGTAGTGAGGCTTTCGAACAATATTAAATAAGCTTCCTGAAGTTATCAAGTTGAATATCTGCTACTGCCATGTCTTTATGTAGAATTATCTTGACTGATTATTGTGTATGGAGCACTATTGGTCATATTTTAAAAAAAAACGGTAGTTAATTTCATTTTTAGGTAAAGGAAGAATTATATTGTTCTCTAAATAATATATATATATTTCTTTTTAATGTAAGCAAAACTGTCAAAAAACCAAATTTATTTTTATTGTGAATAAGGATTGTATTATTGAAATATATTTTAAAATTTGAAACAATTTGTTGGTGTTCTAAAGCACAGGGTAGGAGTGTATTCCAAATCACACATTTATTTTTGTAGTGGGCAAAAATTGTCTTTCAGATAATTTCCTACAACTTTACTTATTTACTTTTATATAGGCCATGTTGCACAGAGCATAAATTATATATACAGTGAAACCTTGCTATAATGCGAAACTTGGGTCATTAAAATCGGATCATGTTTTAGATGGGTTTTTATTTAATAAGGAGTTCTACAATATTTAACATGTATATGTATTCTTGGTTAATGATACAATTATTCATGGGACAAATATTAAATGGATTGCATCATTAAAATATATAAATATTATGTTTTTTAAAAAAGATTTTTTAAAATCTCTTGTGGTCAATGAGCTATGTGGTTTTGAAGTTGGAATAGTTTTAGTGAATATTCCTAGTGTTGTATGAACATTTATAACTCTGGCATTTCAACTTCTTGACTCCTTTTCATGTGCCAATGAATATATGACATTGCGGTAACTAGGTCATGACTATGTTATTTCCAAATTATGACGGGGGTGCATTATCGCAGGTTCCACTGTAAATGTCTTTTATAACCTCACTTTCCTGTTGGGATAATCTTTTGGTTCCACCTTAAGTAATGATACATCTCTGTAACAGTAGCACTTAAACCATTTTTGTATTTTGGAAAGGTGCAAATTAAGATAATTTCATGACTACATTATTCTCCTGTAATGTTAGCAAAATGAAATATTATTTCTGCAATTCCATATTTTCTTAACAACCAAGGCAATCTTTATTTTAAATTCTAATTATAAAAAAGGGATAATTTGAACCCTTAAAGGTGATTTTTCGTAATTTCCCTGTATATTTTCCAATCTGAGTTTTCATGCTTCTGAAGTTTGAATTGTTTTGTCAAGCGTTTGACTAGTAACAAATAACTCAAATAGCAAATGTGTGAGGTGGACTAACAAAATGCTGCTTGCCTTATCATTGTTTTTCAGAGGATGTGGGCAAGGGTTTGCCAAGAGAAAGTCTGAGGCTGGAAAGTTTTCATTTTATAGTGGAGAATATGGTGCACCTGGTAGCACATTTTTCTCTTGTTGATTATAAATATTCTTGTCTTTTGCAAACATTCATTTACTAATGTGATATACCAGTTGTATGTTTGCAAATTAATTGTGTAAATATAAGAATCAATTGTAAGTCATTTGTTCAAATTCTTCATCATCTCCATCTCATGTAAATGCCTATATTAGCTTCACCATTGAACATGTTCCCTGTATATTATAGATTGTGTTCATGTGCAAAAAGAAATATTCAATTTGTGGTGAGCTTCATCATGTGTTCTCCCCTCCATTCATCAAATGCCACCGTGGTCATTATCTGGTGCAGGCTGGGGATTTTAAATTCTTTGGTTGTAATTTTGCCTTTGTAAAAAAAATAAAGTAAAAAATGTTGCAGCAAGATCCTATCATTTATGATTCAATTTCATAATGACATATTTCTTTAGCTTTTTCTTTAAAAACAAAAATAGCAAATGTCATACAGAAAAATATCTTATTAATTTTTTATTTTATTATTTTTTTAGAATTTAATCCTAGCATTTACATTGATTATAAGCCATACAGTGCTTTTTAATGTATTTGTCTAAGAGGTCACAGTAAGCAGGGGTGTAGCTAGGGTTAAAGCTGCCTGTGGCAGGCTAAGATTTTTGCAGCCTCCCTTTGTGAAAAATTGCATGTCAGCGGACAATGCCACTGATTGAAAGGTAGAGTTGTTTTTGACAGGCATTTTTTGAAAGTTAATCTTTAGCATCTTATATTAATCTTTTTCATATCATGATTTGTTGTCAATGGGTATAAAACAACAGGTTTATAAATATTGGTTTAGAGTTTGTAATACTACTGTATACATTTTTCAAGATTGGAATTATAAATATACACAAAATGTTTTCCAAATTGATTTCTTGATTTTGATAAGTTTTACAGAAGTCTTTAAGTACTTTTGTCCCTTTGATCTCTTCTATCCAAAATGCTCAGCTTTCCTAGAATTATAAGAAATGTTATTTTGGAGTATTACCGGTACACAAATCCTTTTCTTTTAGGATGGTTGTTTTGATTGCATACATGTTAATTCATGAAGTTTATATAAATATAGTAAATACCAAAGTAATGCTCCATAGAGAGCTACAATTATAAATAACTGTAGATAAAATATATATTGTTCCCTTCATGAACAATTCTTATTTATTATATTCAATACCCTAATATTAAGAAATAAAAATCGTGCTATAAATATATATATTATGAATATATGAAATATTTAATAAAACAAATATCAATATTACAACACTTTTCACTTTTTCACTTGTCCGCTAGAGTAAATATTTCTTCTCATGTTAGTTAAAAATTCTCTTGTCATATTCAAAGTGGCATTCCTATGGTTCCCCCCCTCCTTTGTTGTTTATGTCATATGTTTTTTCGCATGACATTTATTCCATGAATAAAAATTGTTTTCCATGTTTGCATATCAAATTTTTGGTTTTCTTTTTATAAAAATGCTTGGAGTGGTATGTAATAAGAATTTTTTTTTTTTAAATTTAAATTGCTGATAATTCATTAATTCAGTACAACCTTGGAGTTACTTTTACTTAGGGTATTTATTTGGTAGGGTATGGAGGAAGGGGGTGCAAAATAGGGGATAAAGTGTAAATTATAGAGGAAAATTGTATGAGTAGAGAAAATGCAGATGGGGGTTTACAAGAGGAACATGTAAGCTTAAGGCTACATTTGATGGCCGGGTTAATAATGCTCAATATTTAGGAGAGAAAAGAAAGAAAATCTACTACTTTATCAAAATTTATAAGGGAAGGGGGGCAAGCTCAATCACCCTATATATCCCGGTTTA